CCCCAAAACCCCAAAACCCCAAAACCCCAAAACCCCGAAAGTTAAAGTAATTTATCAATTGGTAATTAAAAAACATTTGAACTTGATAATCAGAATAAATATAGTCATCTTTCATTGAGGCTATGAATTTTTCTTGCTTTATAGCAGAAGTGGTTCCTTTTGAATATTTTAAGCTGCGTTTTTAAAAGCCTTATCTTCGTCGAAGATCAAATCCTTAAATATAATCTTTGACTATTGCCCTATTGATTTATACTTTTTATAATAAACTTACTTTTAAACTCTTTTTTGTTTACTGACTAGTTCTTGTAAACCAGTGAGTTTTGTGGTTTTAATCCTCTGGATGCAAATGATTATTATGATGTAATAGTTCTCTAAAACTGTTTAGGCATAGGATGATTATCTACAGGTTCACCCTTACCATATTAATTTCCATCTGTAATTCCCTCAAAAGCATCTCTCAATTTGCTGAACATATCTCGTTCAAAAGCCTCTTAATTGCCAGATCCAATCCTAATTTCCTCTGGCACATTTAAATTCGATTGAATATCTCCCTTATCATCTTCCTCAAGCCAATCATATGCTTTTTTATATTTTATAGTCAGATATCCCTGCTCAATAATTATAATGAAAATATTCATGATAACTCTAAAACAAGTTAATTATTAGGACTGATAAACTTACACGATACTCAAGAAGATATAAACGTAAAGATATAAATTACCCCAGAGTACATCGTATTAACTTAAATCTCTATGCACTGGAACTAAATTATCTCCATTCATCATACAGAATAAAGTCATAAGAGCCATTGAGAAACTACCAAATCTCTTTTGAAAAGGCCAGAATAGACATTATCCAAGGATAGCATATCCAATGAAAAATGGTATTATACCCAATAGGGCTTTCATCAAAACTGGGAAAGAGTACTCCATTGTTCTTAAAATAAGAGAGTATTTTTGTGAAAACATAAAGTATCTGGGCAGTGTAGACCATGCCAAAAGACAACCTAATCCCATAAGAGCATCCTCAACAGAAGTCTCTCTTATTGGCCTTAATAGATACATTATAGTCCCAATTATTTGGAATAGGTTACCAAGAATAGCAATAAAGCAAAATTTATTGATAAGTCTGGATCTATCTGAGAAACTTAAATCATCCCATGCTAACTTTTTTTGTTAAAATATTTACTCATTGTCAATAATATCCTATCCATTTTCATTCTATTGCTACTATTCAGGTTGAATATTAATTAAAGATATATCTTCCACATCAAAGTTTGTATTTGTACCCTTTTTGTTTTCTTATCTTACTAGAGTTGGCACTTTTTCTCCAAGTATTCTTCCTGCATTTCCCTAATAACCTTGATCAAATTGTTGAGAATATTTCCTGTTGATTTGAGTATTAATTGTAGTAGACCTTCGAACCCCTTTTCTACTAGCCTCTTCTGTTGTTTTATTAATTTTAACTGAATTGTTATTATCATTCTCGATTTCTTTATCAGGATTATATCCAAAGTATGTACTAGTAGTTACTGACATTACTATCTCTTCCTTTTCTTCTTCCTCTTCGTTTATAGACATATTAAATGGATTATTGTCACCCTATCTGCTGTCTACAATAGATTATTTCCTGACCATGCTTAGATATTTACTATTCTTATCCTGAATTCTTGTATAGGATTTTAGCTATAACTTTTTTAAAAAAGTATTCTTACCAGCTTTTAATTTTTAGGACTTATTATCTTTTAAGCTTTTTCATGTGAATTTAAATCCTTATTTAGTTTTTTATTGTACTTTTTCCTTAATCTTTCATATCTTGCTTTTATTGAAAACAGATATTTCACTTAGAGGATGATTGAAAGAAGTGCAAAAATGATAACACCTGCTGAGACCCAGAGAAACTCTACTAAATTATAGCTGTCTAGATGGCAAGGTTATTTTGTGAAGTCAATAGTTAGTCTAATAGCACTTCTCAATGAAAAATCATAGTTTTAGTTGATATACCAATTCAGGCAATCACTGTCTGAATTTGATTCTCTAGGAACGTTATGAGTGATAGTGTAATTGATCTGTATAATTTCAACTTTTCTCATGTAATCCTGCAAGTCTTTAAATTAGAATAGATATGCTAATTACCTTTAATGCTTAGTCTTAATACTTGCTAAATGGACCTAAGTCCGTAGAGGAAATCTAATACTCGATTTAGTCATTTTTGGGTACCTCCTCTAAATAACTTACAAACATATCAGGCTAAATTATCAATCCTTGGTTGTCCAATCTAATAAAATTATGAATTTAAAATTCGTGGGTTACGTTGGAGTGTAAGAGTCAAATTAATTTAATGACTCATCAAATATTTTATTATAGTTTGCTAAGCTCTTTATAATCTACGTTTTGACATCTTAAATTGAAAACAAATACTTGTATCTCGTGATATCTGAATTATAGTTTTGCTAAATTGTATATTCAGATAAACAGATTCAAGCTATTAAATAACTTACTGAGTCATCTAGAAACATCTTATACCATTTAGCTTCAATTTCTCTGTTGTAATAAGCAGTCTCAGCTACTAAAAATATCACTTATAAAGAGGTGAATGCAATCAATATCAAGCACAAAATGAATTTCCAAGGAAATCTATCTATATTTCAAAAGAATTAGGAATTTATCTTTAATACTATATTGCTTGTATTTAGCTAGTGGCCCAAGTTTAATCTTGTATTTCAAAGGAATCTATGACTCCTCTACTGTCGTACTCAAATCTTAAGATTAATTTATATTATGATGACCTTCATTTTAGTTTACTTTCTCCTCTTCTTTATCAATAAGGTTTGAAGACCCTCAAGTATAATGCTTTGCTAGCAAATTCTTAGGATCTTCATTATTAGTTTGATTTTCAACTAATTCTGAGTCGGAAGGTAATTTTTATTGCATTTATATTATTATATCAATCTCTATCTTTTCATTACTATTAATAAATTCTATAGAAACTAATGAAACCATTCTCTCGGGGTTTTGGGGTTTTGGGGAGATCGGA